GAATGGGCGATTTAGCAAATATCTTACAATACTTGATATAGTACGAATATAACAATATAAATTTAAGCCAAGAAAAATAAAGTATCAAGTTATTTCAACATATTCCAGCAAGCAAAAAGAGTATAAGTTTATACACAAACCTTGGTGTTTTACCAGGAAACAGTTCAATCACAACTTGGGGACGTTCGAATCGTCTACGCCGTAAACAAACCAAATCTGTCCATTTCCTCAAACACTTCCCCTTTGATTTTTTTCAAGGGTTTATATACCTTAAATACATAATCAAATATCTAAATAAGTTCAGTGATTTAGCAAGTCAAACTAAACATGATATTGGTGAAATTACCCAAAAACGTTTGAAAAAGAAATTCTGGACAGTATCACTATTCCGAATTGTGACTCAGTTTTGAAGATCTATACGGACAAAATAGACTTTCTGGTCTTCACAAAAGTTGTAGATCTATGTCTTACCATTTCAGAACATCTTGAATAACCTCCATATCAATTTTGAACAAAAGGTTATGCTAAAATTACTAACAGCAGTACATGGAGTATTTCTAAAACTGGAAATCTGGACAACACTTGCCTTGTACTTTTTGATCCTTTTTAGGTAAATACCGACAAAACTAGATTTTGTTTCCTTCATAAGAGTTATATATTTATGAAATACCTTTCTAAAAAGTCCTGGATCACTTAAATCGGAGCTCTGTACAAAAAGATATATAAAAAATACTAGTAGGTGTCTAGTATAAAAACGAGTTTAGAAACTTACCAAGATGAGCAACTTGATCTTCACCAAAAACGAAATTTGCTTGTTGATTTAGTAGAAATCCATGTTTTTTTTCATGAAACTTCAGATTCTAGTTTGTACGGAGTAGAGAGATAGATAGAGAGAAAGAGAGATAGATAGAAAGAGAGAGATGAATAACTATTCTTCTTTGTCTTGAAGAGCAGAAAAAAAAATGGGGAGTTTATGGATAGATATGAAATAAAATGGTTACCCAACTACTAAATATTTTTAGATAAATACAAAAGGTTGGAAACCCAAAAACTTAATTATATATTATATTTAATAGCAACTAGTCTAAATAATATTAAGTGTTACATATAGGAACATCATGGAACTTCATTGTCAATATTAACACAACCTAAAGTAAGAAATTTTCATATATTGACCATTTCACATTTAGGAAGTGCAAAGTAAAATATTTCCTCATTATAAAAATGTTCAATCAAGAATGCAAATATTATAAAAAAATTTGGGGTATTACATAACATCTAATATCAAATACAATAAGAAATTACCGAACAACTTGAGCTCTTAAAAAGCAGTCTGGTGCACTAAGCTTCCGTTATGCGTGGGATCCGAAAAAGGGCCGGACCACAAGAGTCTATTATATGCAGTCTTACCCTGCATTTCTGTAGTAAAAGGTTGTTTACGGGTTGAGCTCATAGATATATATCTCAAAACAAGTGTGATGATAAGTTATAATTGCGTATTTTAGTAGCTTATTACACTCTAATTTACTGCACTATAATTGAGTTTGAGCATTAATTGCTTGTGTTTTATACTATGTTATAGAATGAATTGAAGTTATTCTAAAGCTTTTTATTTGAAAGGGCTACAACTTTCATGTTTTACATTTTTCCAAATTCCCACATCCGCGGCGCATGGGTCGGCGCGTGGCATGTCGCGGTTGTGTAAATTGTTACTGCCCTCAAATTGCATGCTCTCTTAAGTTTCCCATAAGCACATCGCATGGTGCGTCGCCCCATGCGGTGCGCATGTGCAATTTTTACAGAGTTATTTTCCTATTTCGCGCGGGAGAAGGTATTTTTGTTTGGGCCCGACCCTACTTGGTATAAATACATGTAAAAAACATTATTTTTGTAACTTTTGATAGACTTTTGACCTAGGGAGACCACAGAGCCGCCTTGGAGGTTGTGTTTCATCTTTCTTCCATCAAACTTTATAANTAACCTGTTAACCAATAAACTAGATAAATTAGTTAGTCCATTCAATCGAAGAATACAATAGGATTGTTAGATAACCCATAACCCTAGACCGTTTTCATCACATTGATAACATAAAATTCTGTTTTTCCTCTGTTTAAAGTTTATTAGTTATTTTCTTTTTAGTTTAGTTACTTTAGCATCACTATTTTTGGGTTTAATTCTTATTTAGATAATTAGGATAGTCTAATTTAGTTAATAGTTAATCACAAGTTCCGTGGGTTCGACGTCCGACTTTTAGTTACTTTATTACTTGACGACCGCGTATATTTACGTGTGCGTTTGACAACAACAAAGTGTTATTTGCTTTATATATGTATGTTCGAGATGCTAAACAAATTAGTGATAATTTAACAAATAGCTGATTGAAGAAGCTAATTATATTCTGCACCACATTTATACACAAAACTTTGCATTGACTTAATATCTTCATGACGTTAGAAAGACCGTGCAAGAAATCTGATATGTAGCTATTAAAACTCTCACAACGTAAATGTACAAAAGATAAAGCACAACGTTGAGCGGTCTTTGTGCTCTAGAAAAATGTAAAGGTATAAAAAGATAAACACAACGTAAACATATACAAGCTTAATTAATTACACCGTCAAGTGTAAATATACTTTTACATTTTCGGTGCACAAAAGTTAAGCCCTCCTTTGGATCGTGTTATTGTACCTAGACAAGCAATAAACACAAAATCCTATAATCCTCCACGTAATAATCAATAAATTGAACTTATTTTCAAGAGAGTCCATTCAAATTCGCCTTCATCTCCAAGTGCATCAATCTTCTTAGGGATAATAACGGTGCATGGCAGAGGCGGGGCGGGTTATATTTGATGCGAGACGGGGCAGGTTTACTTTCATGTAGGTGTGGGGCGGAGAGGGGCAGTTTGAAATAATTTTTAAAACTTTTAAAGTGGAGCAGGGCGGGTTGCAAGTTTAACGAGGGTTCAATGGGTTCAATGCGGGGCAGCTATAAATTTGACAAATCCGTCACAGAAAATCCAAATTTTAGATTGAGAGCTACAACTTTTCCCTATTGAGTGTACCTTTTGAAATGAACACGCACCATGATAAAATGATATTTACATGATAAGCTTTTCTTGTAGAAGTAAAGCTTCTACAAGAAAATAAAATGATAAAACGATGCGCTCCACAAGTATGAGCATGTAGTTTTACATTACGACAAAGAGAAAAACATAATGGCTTGAATAATATTAAGCTCTCCATTTCATAAAATAATAATAAAATTTCAAACTAGTTTGTTTTAGAAAAAAAAATAAAAGAAAAAAGGGAGGAAAAAACTTAAGTGGGGCGGGTTTAAATTTTGTGGCTATTGCCAAATCCGCCCCGCCCCGCCTTATTGCCATCCCTAAATCTTCTAAATAGTTTCCACCTTTACAAATCGACTCAACCATGACGATATCGTACTCTTGGAGAAAGATAGCACAAGCATTTAACAGCCATGCACTCAACTTGTGGAAAAGATTAACATCAAAATTGGGTAGCAGAAAAAGGTAAAAGAGAATAATCGAATACTATTTCATGTGGCCAATAAATCCATAGCTAAAAAGGGACAACCGGGTACATTAAGCTTTCACTATGCGTAGAATTCATAAAATTAAAGGGCCGGATCACAAGGATCTATTATATGCAGCCTTATCCTGTATTTCTGCAAAAAGGCTTAATAAATTCATAGCTAAATCAAAAAGAAAAACGGCAATGCACCACTCTTAAATAAATCTTTTATTTTCTTCACCATGTCTTTTGCTAATACAAGAAAAATATAATACAATGTAGAGTACAAACAAAAAGGCTTAAGATACAGATGATTTTGTCCATAATGTGAGCTCATCGTTTATCCATAAAACTTGAAAGATGCATGAACTCCGTACAAGTACTGATTCGTTTTATTTGCGCCCATGTGGTGGTAGCCTTAAGAAAAGCACTCTATCATCATTATCTCTTTAATAAGTCCAAAGATCACTTGTAAAACAATCTTAAAATAGTCCCCCTTTTATTTTTTGAAATATTTCCTAAGAAAACCTGCAGTCTTTGGGTATGCACGGATAATCTATTTATTATGCAATAACTCACAAATTATACAGGAGATATAAACCGTATTAGGCAAGTTCGATTTGACAAGCTCGAATAGACTATTGGTGCAAAGAATCGATCACAAGTCTCGCGTGGGAAACCAATCTCAAAATAGTTGCTACCATAGATACTATTCCTTTCGAAAAAGCTCATGATCATGTGCCTGGTCCCAAAGGCACTAAAGTACTAACTTATTATACATGTTAAAGTTCTTACCATATTTTAATTAAAGAAACATCACTATCTGTTCCGCCTAAAGCGATATTGGTTTGCCCCCAATGTCATTGTTTAAGATACAGGGAAAAAAAGGGGGGAAATTGCTCCTTCCAAAAAAGTTATAGCTTCCTTAAAAAGGAGGTTCTTTAAGAGAACTAAATGGGAAAGTCATCTAGAAGTTAGGCGTGAGTGGGAATGCACTCTGGGGATTTCTTAGCATGGATTGCTATATATACATTATATTAAAATATATGGAGAGATTCTCCTCTAAAAAAAACATACTTTTAGTTAATTATATTACGTCTAACACATATTCAGCACATGTGTAGGTCCTATTCTTTTGCATGGGCTAAATACTTATTCCTGATGAGACAATCACACATTTTAGTATATATACACAACACAAGACCTTTACAACATGCATATGTACATGTAATTTATGAAGGGGCTGATATATATACCTTTTCCTGGTTTTTAGTTTCTTTTCTATCAGTACTACTAGAGGGATATATTCCAACATTATGTCATTGATGGGGGCATCAACCTTTACCTTTGGTTAGTGTGTGTGAATATCTCTTTAGCATAAAAGGTTACACATGTTGCTAGCTGCTTTTTTTTTCTAGTTCAAGTCACTATCATCTAACACAAGATGCCCACCCAATCTCTTTTTTTGCTTCAAGATACTTATTTAACTATTTAAGTAATCATATTGAGGGTCCTTCTCCGTTATACTAATTAATTAGAGATTCCCTTTAATGTCCAAATTGCTGCAATGTTCAATGTCTAAGACTTGCTTATTATCGAAGGCTTTCTTAATCATTACTTAAGAACTAGATACAACTAAGGTTCTAATGTCATAGAAGTGCTTTCGAAAATAGACGTATCACAAATCAAGAACCCCAATAAGATGGTCACAGGCATTACACATAATTCTCTAGGGAGATATTAGGTACATATTTGTGTCGACAGTTCTTAATGAGAAATTAAATACTCCTACCATTTACACAACTAGTATAACACTTGAAACAACTTCCTTCCATTGTGTCACCACGCATATGATTACAATTAGTGTCAGAAAACATGAGCAGATGCAAGGATTTAAAAGGCTGTAATTAGATTTTTGAAGACTTGGAGTTATATAATATATGTTGAACTTTTTACGTGCAACAAGGGGACAACGGTAGTGGGTAAGATCATTGCCTACTTTCGTGCATGATTTCCTTATTGTGATCAACTCAAAAGAAATCAAGAAAGGGACCTTTCCCACGTTGGCTTTTCATTGGTCATTATATTGAGGGAGGAGAAGTCACCAACACACCCTAAATACATCTAAAATAGGATTTAACGTATATGTTTTACAGTTTAGATATATGTTATATTATAATTAGTTATGTCCAAATATATTTTAAATGACGTATGATGTAAAAGTTCTTTGACTTGCTAAGAAATATCACTCATTAAAATAAGGTCCAAGAGTTATCGTTTATTGTCCTTCTATCCATTAAACAGACACATGCATTTTAGGCAGACAAAGAAACGGGTAAGCAGGAATAAAGTGGCTTCGATGTTCATAAACAACAGTAAATTAGACATAATTAATTACCCTAATCAAAGAAAAAACAATCGGAGTGGGAGAAATTCATAATAAGACAAACTGCGGAACCATATACTAACACGGAACATTGTTTATGCAGATGAAACACCAATAATTCTTCGTTGAAATTCGAAACAAATACTACTACGACTACTCTCTTTTCTATCAATTTTTAATTTTAATGCATTATTCTATCAAAATATTCCTTTAAAACCTTTTCTTCGCTTCTCTTTCCTTTTTGTTCAATGTTCAATATACATTGTTACCTTTTACCCTGGTAGGCTTGCCCTACAGATAACAACACGCCGAGAGATAAAAGAGGAGTTTAACTATTCTTTTACTATCAAATAATTAAAAGATAAAAGATAAGAACAGATAATCCCATCTATATAATGAGTGGAATTAATAATTTAATTTTCCTTTTTGTTCAATGTTCAATGTACATTATATTGCTTTTTTTTTTTTTTTACCCCTGCACTGCTCAAAACAAAATGTCCGAGAGATAAAAAAAAGCAGTTTAACTTCTATGTATCGACTGCTTAATAGAATTATATGCTATCATATTACTTAAACGATAAAGATATAGTAAGTGGAATTATTATTCTAAAAATGACGTAGAAAACCCGCTTTAAAATATTAAAATACACCAATAAGTATAAAAATTCTTTACACTATCAGTATATATGGATTAAACTTAAGTTTGCTTCAAGATGATTTTGGGTATTGAAAAAATTGCGTACCAGGAATGAAAGTACTAAAAGGATTGGGATAAGAAGGTGCTTCAGTAGTACTAGTGGTTGCAGCAGTAAGTAAATTAGGAGGTTGCTGCTGCTGAAAGGAGCTGCTTTCACCAGCTGCCATATTATTGTAACGATTCTCAGATCCTTGATCATATAATATTCCTTTAAAAACATGTCCTCCTATTTGCACTGATGTTTGATAAGCATACTGATCTACCACATTGTCAATGGAACTTACTCGAATACATCGAAATACTGCTGGAAAACTCACTTCCCCCGGAAAATCTCCTTCTTCTTCACCTATATATATCAAAAACAGCAAACGAAAATTAAATAAAATAGCTTATTACCAGTCTTTTCCTTTTTTTTCTTCCTTTTTTCTTTTTAGTGCTTAGCTTGTTGGTTATGTAAACTGTGTGAAATTATTTTACACCATTGATTTAGTTTAAATCATAGGTTAAAATTACTATTTTTATTAGGTTACCGACTACTCTAATACTTATCATAGGAATTTGCCCTTTTTAGCTTATAATTAGTGATCTAATTGTGTAACACTTTTACTCAGTCAGTGCATAGACTCAATACTTATGGAGCTTTCATGTGTCTAACAACAATAACAACAACAACAAACCTAGTGTAATCCCATAGATGGGGTCTAGGAAGGGCAGTGTATGCAGACCTTACTCCTACCATATAAAGGTAGAGAAGTTATTTCCAATAGACCCTCGGCTTCACGTGTCCAACATACTACATAATTAACAAGAGAAAATAAAACGAAAATTGTATCTTATCGATGATTGCTAGTGAGCATATGGTATAGTACTGCATATATAAGTAAAAGAAAGGAGCAAATAGCTAGGGTTTCATAGTTTCTGTTCATAGCTATAGTAGATTTAAAGAGGCAAGCAAACTTATTTCTTTTTTGGTCCGTGCCAAAAAGGATGACCCCTTTTCTTATTTGGAAACAATTTACCTTTATGCAATAATTTATAGCCACACAAAATATATGTGCCTCGTTTTACACCACAAGTTCAAAAGTCTTCTCTATTTTCTTAAATTCCGTGCCCGAGTTCACATAAGTTGAAAAGGAGGGAGTACTATGTAATCAAAGATTGTCTGTTTGAGTTTCAAATGTTGGATGCACAAATAAGCAACAAAAAATTAAAGGGGCATCGTACAGTAGAGTTGAAGTATACCTTGAATTTCATGATTTTCTCTGTATCTTTTATTAGGGTTTGGTACAGCTTGAAGCTGTTGTTGAATAGTAGAAAGTTGCTGGTGAAGATGGTGCCGTGGACGCCTTGTGGACACAGGGGCCCAAGTGCTCTTAATGTGCGTTTGACAATGAAACCCTCGGCTTCTACAGCAAGTTCTGCACCTCAAATAAGTGCAATCTTTTTTAGCTTGATTTCCACAGTCTTGGCACCTACTACTTGATGATGATCCTTCTACTTCCTTCATCATCTTGAAATATTCTTTATTTCTTTTCCAATAACATGACTCATTTTAGTTAATTTCACCATTTGAGCTTTCCTTTTGAAGAATTATTCTTTGGTGTTCAGCCAATTTCTGTTCCTAAATTTGGGAAGGTCCGTTTGTTTCTTTTGGTGTTTTTTGTTTTTTTCTTCCAAGAGAGCTCATGGCTCTAGAGTACTATATGTTGGGGCCGTTGAGGATTCTTTTTTTCCTCTTTCTAGCTTTTTTCAGGCACCTTTCCACCCATAGCGATTTTTTTAAATCTGAAAAAGAAAAAATGATGACAATCGGTACATAAGCTCTCGGACCGCAAGAGTTTACTGTATGTAGTTTTATCCTTTATTTTTGCAGGTGGCTATTTTTCACGGTTCGAATCTGTGACCTACTGGTCACATGACAACAACTTTATCAGTTTTGTCAAGTCCCTCTAAACAGAAAAAGAAACAAAAAGAAATATTTAAAATATTTTGCTATGGGTACGTACACGTACTGAGTGTGAATCATTTGCCCTTCACTCTTCGGAGTTCATTCAGCCACTTTACAACAACACAGTGCCAACAGTTACTGAAATCAAATCTAGGTCAAGTCAGGTGCAATTAATATTCCACTGTTGTAACGACAAGGCAAGGCCAGGATGTTCATTTGTTGAAGAAATAATTACTGACTTTTGACTGTTGAGGACAGTAAAATCTTGAGAAGAAAAAAGAAAGGACAAAACCATATTATTACACAACTTACAAATAGTACTGCCGAAAATAATGTAATATAGCTGATCAGTGAATTTCTCCTGCTTTATGTGAATTCCCCGTATTGCTTATCTTATTTGCTATGATAATGAGGTTCCTCCATAAAACCTCATTTTCCATGACCTTTCCTGCTTTCCATCTGCCAGCCGCACTAACGACAAACGGAGAGAATAAATAAAAAATGTAGAGTTTGATACTTTATATTATATAGTTAATTATTTAATCAGCATGTTATTACTCTATTTTCTTTAACTTAATTAGTGAGTACTATATTAGATTGCTACGAAGAACTACTTTTTGTTATATACTAATCAACTTAATCTGATAGTAAAGTTCTTGACATTGGTAGTGCTCCTAACTCATAGATATATGTAAAAAGAGAAAGCTTAGCCTCCTTTTTCATGTTGTGTATTTTCTCTCAACTCTTTAATTACTTTCCCTTCCCTCATTTCTTCTTTTGGATCTTCGTTAATTTATTTCACATAGTATGTATATAGAATATGTATATCGCTATTCTTCGTTGTTTGCTTTGATAAAGCCAGACAACTGGATAGGGCAAAAGGCAGATAGAATTTGGGAAACAAGTAGCTAGCTAGTTGGTTTGCTAAAGGAGCATGTTTTTGCTTCAAAACTAGATACTTATATTCCTAACGAAATAGCGAGTTTTGAGGTTAACGAACGTGTCTCTCCAACTATATATGCTTGATTCACGTAGCTATAATAATAGACAATTAAGGGAGATGAGATAGTACAGAATTAGTTATCTAGTGCTAAGTTGAGTTATATGAAATTCTGTAAAAAGGTCAAATATTTTAGCAAAAGAAATTTCAAAAGATTTATCTGGCGAGTTTGGCAGTTCTCTTATCTCTTTCTCCTTTTCACCTTTTTGGTTGATTCGGTGGCACGGTTTCATTGGGTACCACAAGAAAAGAAAAAAATAAACGGGGATCAATGTGGTAGCCTACATTATTGGATCATTACCATTCTCTTCATGCTCAAGTTCTCCACGTGTTTGTTTCACAATGTATTTCGTTGTAGGGGCGTGGGAAGGGCTGGGATGGGGAGGAGACATCTGTTGTGTGTCAAATAAGATCCATGAAATTATTACGTTCCGCCTGACGGATTCAAAATTTTAAGTCTATGAATTTCTACAATTATTTTAAATTAATATATAACGATAATCCGACCATCAAACTAGGTACTAATTAAGCTAAATATTCCTATATATTTAATAACTTTTTTAGTGTAAATACATGGTCTCAACAAAAATTACTGAATTCACCTAAATCTGTAGCCGGTCATGAAGGTATCTCAGGCGGATAGAACGCTTCCCTATTGATGTATTTTGGTATTCTACATCTTGTTCCTCCCCGTTGCAAAAGTGTTCGATCAATGAGTTATTACGCTTCTTTTCAATTGCTTCCACCATTTTTGGTTGTTTAGTATTCCTATTTCCTTTATTACTAAACGATCGCTTCATCTTAGATTATTTCCTAAAATCTCTTTATTGAATAAATTTCAAAATAAATTGTATATGCACATTTTATATAAAAAAAATGCATTTAATTTTTGATCTGTTTGTTTTTGAATATTAACGATATAAACTAATTTTGAAAATCTGTGATTGTAACAGTTTGGATCATTGTTTATTGAACTTTTATTGACTTATTATTCAAAAATGTTAAAATATAATATTTCAAAGATAAAATTTAGAACTCTTTGAAAATTGGCTTTACAGATGTCTTATGTGCGCTACAATATATATTGTACCTCGCGCTAATCCTTTAATAGCTTATATCTAATTCTTAGCTACAAAGCGTAAATTTACAAAGTAACCAATTTTATTTTATTTATAGGAACTTATATTTTTTTCTTAAGTTTTACTTTATAACTTAAACATATTTTTTAATGAAATATTACTCTTTGAGAGGTTATATGTGCGCGTATCCTAAAACTAATAAATTAAAAAAGTAAGTGCGATTAATGTAAAGCACCATATAGTATACAAGTGGTTATAATCTAAATTCTCAAAATCTTGGTCCCTCTACTTTGCCATATTTGCCACGCCTTATTAACACAAAAAAAAAAAGGCTTTTCCTTCGTTGGATGTGGAATGTTTGGAAAGCTAGAATTTTGATAAAGAGGGAATAATTATATAGTTGAAAATACTAAGCATGTCGCCATCAAAACTGATAAACTATGTTTTTTTTGTCAAAATAGCACGGTATAGTCAGTTTTCGGAATGGTCAATCAAAAATAGCCACCGTTTACGAAGTCAATGAAAAATAAGCATTATTTTTCTGCAACAGAGACCGGTCCCATATAATATACGGGAGTTCGGTGCATCTGTGTACGAACTCCAGCATATTATGTTGGACCGGTATACTTTGCTGACTCCTGTATAATATACGGGAGACTGGAGCACCGGTGCACCAAACTCCAGTATATTATACTGGACATTTATACTTACTGGAACTTCCATATGTTATGCTGGAACTCCAACATATTATACGAGAGTTCCAGCATAGTTATCCTGCAACTCCCGTATAATATGCTGGAGTTCAAGTATACTTATGCTGCTGGAGTTCCATCAAGTATACCGGTCCAGCATAATATACTGGAGTTTGGAACACCGGTACTCCAGTCTCTAGTATATTATACTGGAGCCAACAAAGTATACCGATCCAACATAATATGCTGGAGTTCGTACACAGGTGCACCGAACTCCATTATATTATGCTGGACCGGTCTCTATTGCAGCAAAATAGTGGCTATGTTTTAGTGACTTGGTAAACGCTGGCTATTTTTAAATGACCAGTTTGAAAACTGGCTATACCGTGCTATTTTTATGCAAATCAGACATATAGGCCCATTTAGAAAATGTCATCGTCGCTTTGTGAGGAACTTGTTTAATTAATAAGATTTTAGTTGGAATTTTCTCCATTTGATTCTCCATTTCATTTGTCCTCTTTTTTTGGCCTTTTCTCATTTGGTTCTATTAGATTCTCCACTAAATCAAAAATGGTAAGGTTCTAAAGAGAGTAGGTTGAATATTTTCTATGTCAAATGCTATAGCACGTAGTGGGTATTAGACTTTTGAATATATTACACTAAATATATATTCGAGAATCAAGCTAATGTAATGAGATTGTTGTGATTCCTCTATCTTAACTAGATATCTTAGCTTGTTCGAGCCATGAAATTATAACGTAAATCTAAATTAGTCAGAGCAAGTGAACTCTGAACATACATAAATGGTTAAACAAAGAAAAAACAAATCCTAGTTCAAAACTTCAACTAACAAATATTTTCAACATCTAACGACGAACATCAGAAAAGATTGCTATTACACTGCTAAAGGATGTACATACGAGAAGATCACACTTCTTCACTTTTTTTTTTCTTTTTTTTTTTTGCTTTTTTAATTAGTCGTTTCAAATGCATGTAATTCCAACTGAATAGATACATTATATGCTATCATCTATAATCAAATCATGAGTACGAGTTGTCTGTCTCCTTGTTATGTAGTTAATATTATTAATTATATATATTTTTTCTATTTATTTCGTAATCTATGTTGTAAGAGTAATCCACAATAATAAATTTGATACATTTGTTATAAATTTATGTTAATCAAGTTCTTCTTACAGTATCGTCTTAAAATCAGTATTACTGCATCTTATGTCTTCTTTAAGCACAAAAGAATTAGAAGTCGGTGCTATTTTAGTCCTAAAGAATTTGACCTCACCATTGATATCCTAACCACCAGAGGCGGACCCACCTTATGTGTTGAAGGGTCACCGACCCCCGGTAGTCTCGACAAAAGTTGAGTATATATGTCTGCATATATATCGAGAACCCTTAAATGAAATTTTTTGTGCCACCGCATCACCTGCGTTGGTCGAGTGGTCCGCTCGAACGCTTATCGTTCCTAGCGGTACAGGGTTCAATACCAAACTGCAACAAAGTTCCTCACTTTTTTGTTTTTCTTTTTTCCTTTTTGAATTCAATAATAATATAGTTCTATGTAACTTGGTAGTTAACTTTATTTACTTTTTCTTTTATCTTTTATGAATTCAATATTAATTTAATAATAATAGTGAACTTAGTCCAGAACCTAAGGAACAATTATTTAGACTCAAGGGACCAAAATAGGTGCATAAAAAAATTAGGCACCATTTTATATTACATACGTTATACGTTAACGGGCACCACTTTATTTTTCTTTTACTAATCTCTCCCTCAAAAGCCCAAAACCCAACTTCTATCCGGTTTCCACGAATAGAAACAATGCAAACTCTTGTGCCTTTAACATTTACTTCGGCAAAATTGCCAGAATAAGTCGACTCGGGACATAGCCTATTTTAAAGATGGTGGTGCACCCGCTGCGCTTAAATCCTGGGTCCGCTCTCTGCTAACCACTCAAAGTGAAATTTGGTGTAGGTGCACAAACAACCATTCTTAGGGATGCTATTTAGAGATTAGTCAGTACTTATTTTGTCTGGAAATTTTGAACTAAAAATCTTAACTTGAAGACATTTTTTGTCCTGAAAATTGAACTGATAAACTAAAATTCAAGACACACTAACTAATTTTTAAATGACAACCCTTTAGAGGGGTTACCTGGTGTGGTTTCTACCAAATTTGGAAAACAAATAGAAGATCTGCATGAGTGGGAGAAGAACAGAGCCTAGATATGGAAGAATGATATTGTATACCCGCTCTCCAAATAATAGCCAAAAAATATATAGGTTTTGTATACACACATACATTTTGTATGTGATAATACCCCAACCATAAAAACAGGAGTGTTTGCATTTTTTGTGGTAGTTTAACGTAAAAATTGCGTGGGGTAGCCAATTTTTAAAGTGGTATTTACTTTTATTCAGCATTTTTAATGCTAAGCAAAAGTAGCCACTAGTCTATTAAAATTAATATAAAAAGATGGTAGTGTCCTTGCTCCTACTCCTCTAACTAAGTTCATGACTAAGTTCAGGACTTGTTGTCCTTAATTTATGAGCCTGTAAGTCTAAGTTAAGGACTACATGTCCTTAGTTTTTGAGCTTGTAACTCTAAGTTTAGGACTACATGTCCTTAATTTTTAAACTTGTAACTCTAAGTTGAGGACTACA